GGGAGGGGATAAAAGTCCCATAACCCCTTTCGATTCGCCTACGGTGACATTCCAAAACAGCTAAGATATTTTTAAAACGCACCAAACGGAAGAACTGTTAAGGTGGCAGTTGCTTGAGGAGACGAGCGAGCGTCAGGGCTGCTAACAGGCTGGCCACTGGTCAATGCAGCATTGGTCGAAGCAACTTCAAAAATTGCCAGAGCTGCACAGCTAGAGAACGACATTTTGAACTACTTCACACCGATGTAACAAATGTTAGCTAACAGTAAAAAATTATAATTAACGCTTATTACTTCACATCACAAACCATACACATGTTTTAACACACACATATACTTTATACTATAAAAATATACTATGTCTCATCCCCTTGGGTATAGTAATACACTTATTTCAGTAAAAAAAAACAAGCGTTAGAAGGTTAACATATTGTAAAGGTCAGAAACACTGCATACCATGCAAAATTAGAAATATACCGGTGTGAAAAAAGCGCATGCACCTCGGTTCAATTTCGAGAAAAAACGAGGTTTTTTCAAAGTTAATCTTAGTTAAGGGAAGAAAAAATAAGGTTGGCGCAAAGTTTTTCCAGCCAGCTGCACCAAAATTTTTGCAAGTACTTAAGATACCAAAGTGGAATACATTCGCTTGACAAATTTGTTGCGCAGATAAAATCCTTTAACTGATTTATGCTCTTACCCCGTGAAGTAAGTCTTCATGTTCTAGGAGTGGCAGAAATTTGAGAGTGGCGGTGCTAAATATACATCAAAGACAAATTGAAACAGTGAAAGCTGCGTAGATAAAGCTAAGAGCTCTCAACTTACCTACGCGTCAGCTTCGTAAATAGAGAGGCCCAACACATAAATTCTTGCCAAAGTCTTCTGCTGCGAAACCTATTTAAGCTCGTAATCCCTTTAAGAGGGGGGATAAACATCAAGGTCAGCAATAAATTGACCAACGCAGCATTGGTCAAAGCAGCTGGAAAATTTGTCCAACGCATAGGTAGGCACTCAGAAATTAGCCGCTGTTTCAAGTATTTCAGGTAACTGTGGGCGCGCACATTGGAAAGTGCTACCCGCATGGAAATAAGCGGTCAGTTAGGCGATTACGAAGAGATGGCGCACATGCACCAAAAAACGATAGGTACTAACTAGAGATTTCCAGAGAAAAATCTAAGGGCTTGGCACAACCGTCTAGATATCCTATATTACTGATGCTTTTCGGAGTATCCTAGAAGCTACAGTAAAATACAATATTCACATACCGGATCTTGACATTCTCAGTAGATTCAAGGACTAACTTCCCAGGAAGCATTTTGTCACGTTCTCACAGTCCTCGTAATTTTCCGAAACCGCAAGTGGTGCATTCTTTGGATTTTCTGTTCGTCTTCGAACTCGATATAATTTTCCGGATGAAAGAAGTCTACTTATACAGGTTCCAGTTTTTGGATCAGGAACTGTTCCGCGTTCGCATGTGCACCAACCATTCACGCAGTTTGTCCCATCGATACATATTCGAGCCGGAAGTGCAAGTTTTCGAATATTCAAATGAGTCTGGGGATTTTGTGTGGTACACGATTGGCCTAACTTTGAGAGGTGCTTTTCGAGGACACAACTCCCCTGGGCTAATTTCCGTCCTGGAGCACACTGACAAAAACCGCCCAAGCAAAGCGAATTCCCGGCGCAAATGTCACTCACCTCACATCGCGTATAAGGGGCACGAAATGCTCGGCATGACTCGTTAAATGCAACAAAGCCGATTTTACACACACATTTTGGACGCATACAATAGGAATGAGGTGGGCACTGCTGATTGTGCCTACAAGATTCCAAAGATGACGAATTGGAAATCGAAAAACTCGGATCTTCTGCGGATTGTCCAGAACTCAAACGAGAAATCTTATGGATTTTGCGCGAAACTTCGCTCGAATTTCGTCCATTCATCGAAATTCCTAAAGTCTCAGAGTGCGAAAAATTGTTACCGCTTTCCAAAATTTTATTGCCGAACATCAATTTTTCTTCCGGGAGCAAATTTTCTCCAGAACTCGGTTCCTCCTCTTCCTGATCCTCCCCTACAACAATTTCATGCTGTGGCACACAGTAAACTGCAACCATGGTACTAGCATCTTGACAAATACAGTAACCTTTGTTACAGTATGCCAGCGGATGACAATCCTCAGCTTGATTACAATTTAGTGGATATTTAGAAGCAGGTTGACAAATTCCATTCAAAAGCAGTTGGCCATGTGGACACGGGCACAGACCAGTCCCTGGTTGACATGCTGACTTCTGATCACTACAACCATCTTGGTTCAACGAAGTGCAATCGCCTTTGGGTTCCAATGGTTCCATTTTCTGGCAATTTCCTGATTGCTCGGTATAAGAATCCAAGCAACGGCAACGTGAGTTCTCGCAAACAGCACCACTCGGGCACTGTTCATCCATTTCACAGTATCCGTCCAGTGGTACCACTTTCGGCCGACAGTACCCATCAACAGCAATGTAGCCAGGATAGCATTCACATTTCATGCTTTCGGCGCAACGAGCTCCGTTCCAACACAGGCCACCCAATGTGCATGCTTCCCCTGGCAGACCCGAACCGGAAATTCTTTGGTCCGGTGCATTTTTGTTATCTGGAACCGGATAAAAGAATCCGGGGCGGGATTTCTGGGTTGTTTCAGCCAACGACATTAGTCCGGTGTTTCCGGAATTCTCGTTGCCGACCGACAATATATGATGTTTCCAGGATCCCAAGCTTCCATCAGCTTCATATAGTTTCTGACACGCTCCCGTTTCATCGATAAATTCATTGGCTCCGCAGGAACAGAATCCATGCTGGCACGTGGAACCACCAAGGCAAATCTCTCCATTCAGACAACTTTTTCCAATTTCTACTCTCCCTGCAGTTTGTGCTTTTCCACCTAAATTTCCTGCGTACTGCGCTTTTTCACGGTCTTCCAGCAGGAAACCACATTCCAATCCCGTACTCGCCAGTCCATCTGTACAAATGCAAATTCCACGCAAGCAACGTGACTCACCCACGCATTTCCGTGACTCGTCGCACTGCTGTCCTGGTAGAACCCTGTGCGCTACTTCAATGCACCATTTTCCAACGCTGGTTTCGTTGCTTCTGCACCGGCAAACACCTCGCTTACATTGTTTCCATGGTGGACACTGGCTATTGCTTTTGCACGGCAGAATAACCGGTTCTGTAGAATATTCCGTGTTCTGGTAAACACCGGAAGTTCCGTTCATGCCGCTTCGAAGAAGCGTGGGAGTTTCTGGAGCTGATGGTACTTGTTCTACAGATTTCGGAACTTCATAACGCGGATTCTCGGTAACAAAACGTTCCTGGCTCAGCGAATCCAAGCATTCTCCAGCCGTTAGCTGTGTACCTAGTAAACAGGTGCAGGTATTCGCAAAACACGTTGAACCCCCGGTACATTGAGTTGTCCGATCACAAAATTGGCCTGGTGCTGCATTATTGGTCTTTTGGATTACTGGCTTCAAGGTTTCGATACTATACCGACGCTCCTGATTTTCTGTTTCCCCAATGCCGTAAGTTTCCGTCGAATTCCAACTGAATTCATTTTCTTGTTGATCACATGTACCTTTTAAAAAACAGTCTGCAGCAGGTATTTCTAGTTTGTTTGCTTCCCGGTCCGGATTTAATTTCCCGGATTTTGAAGCATTTCCTGGTAATTTCACGCATTTCTCATTGGCAAGCTGATAACCAACGGCACACATACAAACCCCAAATCGGCACAGACTTCCACTGGAACATCGTTCACCGTAGTGACAACTTGCACCAGCCTTCACAACTGATAATATGCAAATTTTTTGCGCAGCACTAAACTGGTAGCCAAGTGGACACCTGCATACGCCCAGGTCACAAAAAGAGCCAGCACTGCAGAGTTGACCATCAGCGCATCGACCACCCGGGTCCTGGCGACAATGCCCAAACTGCTCCATCGATCCAGCCGTACAGGTGCACGTGGAATTTTGACAAACCGATCCTCCAGAACAGCGATCCAGCGGCGTGCAGTGGCTATGCACCGGCCTGTGAGTACCATACTTGTCTTCCTTCACGCATAATCCGTTCTAAATGATAAGATATAATCAGCGGACGTTATCAGGATTTCGCAAAAAAAGACA